TTGGTGTGACAGTAGCTGACAGTCACAACACAGAGTTCAAGTGGTAAATGAGCTTGAAAGTTGGACTACAGCCGTGCAGAGATGTTGTAGGGTGACATTCCTCTTCATGCTTGCTGTCAAAACTAAAGTTGCAGTTTGAGTTGCAACAAAGTGTGAATTTGAATTAGTTTTAAGTTTTCTTCACTGCCAGGCTGTGACTGTGTCAGAAGTTTATTATATATTTAGTCTTTAGGTTTGCAGAAACCATTGTTTAGAATGAAGAAATGTTTGCATATTCAATTCTCACATGATGGTTCATGATGGTTTTGATGGATGCTTTCAGAGGAAAGTGGATAAAAATGGCTGCTTTGATCTGTCGTTGTGATCAGGAGCCTCACAGACCGTGGAGCCCCACCGAATCAGAAGGGAAGAATCTTAAGCGGCCTCGTGACGACAGCTTTCTTCCACTTGTCATCCCGGTGTCAGTTCCTGTTCGGAGACAGGAAACCTCCTCTCCGGGTAGAGATGAGGCAGTGCTGGCATCGAACTGGCCTCTTAGGCCCCCGAACACCCAGGACTTTGGTCGAGCAGATCACAAACTCTCAGTGATCGTCACACGCAGACGCTCGCTCAGGAACTCCTTGACGGAAAGTTTGGAGGTAAGCGCCTTCATTTTTCTGTCTTTATTGCCCGTTGTCCTGAAAGACGGGGAATAATATTTGCACGTTTTGTGTGCTTCTTTCAGAAAAATGTTTTATTAATTATTAAAGTGTTTTGGAAAGTAATAATCGAATGTACATCACATCTGATTAACTTTAGGAGTACACAAGAAAACACAAAAATATCAGCTAAAATTTGGTGTGGTACAACTGAAAGTGATGACCAATACTTCTTATGAGCACTGACAAACTGCACAGCTTTCTATAAAGTTTTGTCATAAACGTTTTAAAAGCAATTCTGTTAGCAAAATATGAACCGCTGGACAGATTTTAGCAACAGCTTCAGACAGTAGTGACTGACTGTCATACATGTGTATACAAATTTAATAACAAAAATCTTTAGAAATCTAAAGTTAATGAACCTTAGCAAACACTAAAATTACAACAACCCATTTAGTATTGAAGATCTGAAGTCTGGTGTAGTAGTAGCAGATTAATTATTTAATTTTTAGTTGTTTTTAAGTTATTTCATTAAAGACAAACTAGCTGCATTTCCGTTGACCATGAAAATGCGCAAATTAGAATTTCGAAACTAAATTTGCTCAATGGAAACACGTCAATTTGAAAAAAAAAATTACGTTTTTCGACAAAATGTTTTTGCGCTAGGAAGAGGTGGTATTTCGGCCATATCGATATTGGTGTTTTTTGCAAAACTGCAATGGAAACACTTTTTTCACATCACGTGAGTCACGTGATCAACAACCGGCTGTTTCTACTGGCGAAAAAGACGACGATGAAGAAAACAGGAACTAGAAGTAGTTGTGAAATCACAGAAGTAGTAAAAGAAAGTAGTAAACTCAATGACTACAATTTCCCAAAAACACAACATACGTAGCCGCTCCCAAGTAGGGTCTTGTCGCTGGAAAGCCTCGATAAAAGATGCTGACGTCTCCTCTGATGATGAGCGATAGTGTTGCGGTAGCAATATGCTATGTGTTTACATCCCTTGCCGCCATGTTTGTAATGACTTATTGTGAGAACAAACGTATTCACGCGTGACTTTATTAGCATTTCTTACTTAATGGAAACACCGCAGTTGCGAAACTGTGTTTTTTCGACATTAACAGAATATCGACAAAGTTTTGCGCACATTGACAATGGAAACACAGCTACAGTAAGAAGTTCCACAGTGCCATGTGTGACAATCTGGCGTCATGTCATCCTGATCAGTTTGTTTTTTCCTGCTTTACTTCCAGTTATAAATCCTTGAGTTCACACTACATCACCCCACAAACACCCTCTCCCTTCCCCCCTAATGTATTCCTCTGTATGAGTCCCCTGCTCTGATTTTCTCCCTTTCCCTCTGTCATTGGGGAGGATTAGGTGAACTGGTTGCCCTGTCCCAGATCGGACAGATTAGCAGGGTTTAGGATGCTGTACATTATGTTCCATACAGTTGAGGATGGGGTACTACATTCTTTCTTCTTTTTTCTCTTGAATTTCTCTGTAATTTCTTCTTTTTGAGCCCGTGGGATTGAAAGGGCGATCATGTTATTGCCTATATGTTTGTGTTTCTGTGTGTGTTTGTCTCTTTGCAAAATGTTTCATCACTGAACAGGTTTTAATGATGTTCTCAGAGGTGACAGATGAACCCAATACAAGATGGCCATCACTCGACCTTAGCAAACACAAAATGACTCATTCAGTTTTACAGATATTGACAATGTTGTCACATTTTACTGAAACTAGTTAAAAGTTCAACCCACACAGGTTAAACCAGAATTTGTTGTAGTTCATAGTTCATCACTGAAACACAAACTCACAAATCCAAAATAAACTCAATCGATTTCTTTATTTTATGACTTCTTGTAAATTGCTTAAATCATAAATATGGTGCTTCTACGACTAATTCTAGGTTTTTTATGTCACTTACATTTACCTTCTTCAGAGAGCAGTGTGTCATAAATACCTGGCGTGAGGTTGAACAGCTGATCGTTTATTTCAAGGAGGAACTCTCCGTGCACAATAAAACAAAAAACAAAGCTCTTTTAATATTCAAAATAAATTCAGTTCTTTGTCTTTCGTGTATAATTCCTTTACTCCATTTCCCTTTTTTATTGAGGTTTGGATCCCAAATGTTGAGTTTTGGTGCTTCGAAATACACTCAACAAAAAATATAAATACATCACTATTTGTTTGTTTGTTTGTTTGTTTGTTTGTTTGTTTGTTTGTTTGTTTGTTTTATTTATTTATTTTCATGAACTAAACTCAGATCTCATATAGGGCTGCCACGATTAATCGATTAATCGACGACTGATCGATTATTAAAATAATCGTTTGTGGCAGCCCTAGTCCTATGTTTCCAATAATATATTTTTTAGAAACCACTAATAAAGAGTTTTGAAAACAAGTGTTTGTGAACGAGGCATTTTACTCGTTAAACAATGGTTTTGAAGAAGTCTCTTGAATGTCTTGAGACTTTTTGATGATAAATAATGATTATTTAAAAAACTGGTTATAGTAGTAAATGGACTGTACTTGAATAGGTAGGAAATGTATTGTAACACAGTATCATGACATGGGATCACAGTATATTGTGGTACTGCAAGCATTGTAAAATATTACCTTTTTTTCACCAAAAATATGAATAAAAAAAACTCAGTATGTCTTATATGTATTTTGTATGTTTCATATGTCGTATTTCATCCATGTTTTCAATGGTTAGGCCAAATGTTTGTTTGATAATATGTTTGTGGCAGCTTTTAGAATTCTAATTTTAATTTATTATAAACAATATGGTCACCCACCACTCTAACAATAACCTTTATCTTGTGCTGAAGTTTTATAAACAGATGAAGTGATTCTGCTACAGTCTGTGTTTCTGTCAGAGGGTCCCTTAAGGGAGTAGCGTGAGTACTGCAGTCATTTTAGTGCATTAAATGTTTCATATGGTCGTTGCATTTGGCCTCTTCAGTACTACCATCCATCAGGGCCATAAGCAAATGCATACTTGCAGAATTAAAAGGGCGTCCTGAATGGGAAACTTCAATTTGGCTTAAAAAACGGGACAGCCCAGCTAATACAGGACAGTTGGCAACCTTACCTCAGCTTTGCAGGCAGCGGGTGACGGTCTAATCTATCAGATGCAGCCATTGGTGCTTAGTGCTAACGTTTACTCACAATGCTAACGTTTGAGCTAGCATTATACTCTCAAGCTCCTCAGGAGTGGAGGAGCCAAATGGCTGACTGACTGCCACCAACTAGCGATTGACAGCTAATAATGCAACACGAAAATGACCTGCTGGCATGAAAGTTTACCTTTTTAAGCTTTGATTAAATATCACTACAGTGCTTTAGTGATACAGTATCAGGAAATGAAATATTGCGATATTTCAGTGTATCAATATTTCCTGACAGGGCTGTGGTTAGTTAGGGGAGTTGGCTTCCAATGCAAGAGTTGGCGGTTTCGATTCGTGTGCCTGGGCAAGACACTGAACCCCCATGGCCTCTGATGTGTGTCCCATCAGTGTACGAGTGTGATATAAACACTGGTTAGACTATAGAATGATCTATCTAGATTAGTTTTGTAAAAGCTATATGAATGGGTAAACGAGGGAACAGATTGTAGTGTAAAGTACTTTGAGTATCCTGGTTGAATAGAAAGGCACTATGTAAGAACAGTCCATTTAACCTTATTATACTGTGCCTTTCCATTCAGTCAGGATACTCAGTGTTTTACACTACAATCTGTTCCCTTATTTACCCATTCACACGCACATTCATACATTAGCTTTGCAAAGATATAGTACTAATCTGTATAAATCATTCTATAGAGACTAATCAGTGCTTTAAATCATAATCATGAACTGATGGAACACGCATCAGAGGCAGGGGGTTAGTGTCTTAACCAGGGACATTTTAATATGTGACTCAATGGTGGTGGAGTTGAACCGCTAACTCTCTCATTAAAGGACAACTGCTCTAACCAGTCAGCCACAGCTGCCTGCCTTCATATAAAAAGTGTACTCCAGTAGATTAAATCATAAGAGATGGGGGCTTAGGAGACGAACAACAAAATAAAGTGCATGACTAATAATTGGATTTACAATTAAAACATGCTGATTTTAATTTAAAAAAATGGTCGTTTATCACTCGGTCACTAATAGTTCAATAAGACTGCAACTAGAAATTCATGTCTTCTCCCAGTTCTCCTGCTGTTTTCACTAACTATCCCAACAGTCGCAGCTCAGTGAGATATCACCTTTACAAAGCCGCATTGACATCCTGTAATGACATTTCCAGTAACTATTGATTATACTATCTCTATCACCTACTTTCCTGTGTGTCCACTAATAAACACAGGTCAGGTCATGTGCTGGATTTATTTTCCTGGACGGTTGCGATTGTCCTGTGAGCCAGCGAGTGAACCCACCCCTCCTCTACACCGTCCTCACACTCGATGCTTTGCAGTGGAGGTCTGTTGTTGATAAAGCAAACAGCAGGTTTTTGCCTCACTGAAGCTAACGAGTTCGCCTCCCTCCTCCTTTGGGGGAATCTCTTTGGTCTGATTGCCCAATCCTTGACCTCTGTTTGTTTTGCTTTTTTACAGGGTGTTGCCCATGAATAAGAAAACACGCAGACTTCTTCGGATCTGTTCCGCCCTGGCTGGAGACCTTTTGAGAACATCACAAAGGACTTCAGAGTGAATAGAGGATCATCTCAGTCGAGCTGGATTCTTGCTGCACACAAGTTATACGACTTCATCTTACTGTGAATGCCCAAGTACATTTAGCGTCTACATTTGCTGTTTTTATGTTGATAAAGTTCAGACAAGTACTTGGTTTGACAAAGAACAGTTACCTTCTTCGGTGTATTCATGCCCGTCATGAGCGTACCAGCCCAGCAGAAAGCCAACGCCAAAAGAACGGGCAAACGGATAACATTTTTTAGCGATCAAAGTGGCGATTCAATGAAGGAGGCTTTACAGCACCCTGACGGGGCATACTACGCCCCCAGCGGCACCGCCTCAGACCCTGGACAGAGTGAAGCAGCAAGTACCGTGACCTCCAACCCAGAGGGTCCTCACATGTACCTCAACTCTGTCATTTTCAGCCCGGAGAAGGGAGACCAGAGCCGGGGTCACTATCAGCAGACTGTGCCAATGAAGTGGGCTCACCAGGAGCCCAGTCAGCAGCAGCAGCCTTCCCTGTCCCAGCAACAGAGAGCTGCCTCATGGACCATGCCTAACTGGGGGCCAAACTTTGCAGATTACTCACGGACCCAGAACGCATTTGCAAAACCCATGCACGAGACGTCGAGCTTGCAACCACATCAGCAAGCCACAAACAGAGCTGCGGACAAATCAGTGGAAACGTACAGAGACGCAGCAAAGTCTCGGGCCCTGGACTGGGAGCAGCAGCAACAGTCGCAGGTCTTTCAGGAGACGCTAAAACCTGGAGTCCTGAACCCTCAGCAGCACGGTGCATCCCACCCTGCAGGAAGCTCAGTCTTGCAGCCCTTCCAGTTGGCCTTTGGTCAGCCCAAACAGCACCTGCCGGCTTACTACCGGACCTTCCAGGGGAACAGGACAACACTACCCAACCCGCCTAACTACCCTGCATCTAATGCTAAACCCTCACATCACCTGCAGCCCCTGCAGAATCCAGAACAAGTACAGCGCCAACAACAGCATCCCGTCATCCAGCAGCAAATTCCGCACCATCCCATCATCCAGCACCAACAGGCGCAGCAACAACTGCACCACGAACAGCAGCAACAAAAGATGCAACAACAGCGGCAGCAGCTGCAGATTCAGCAGCAAATGCAACATCAGCATTTGCAGGAACAAAACCCTCACATGCTCGACTATTACTCTGCTGCGCACAACGCACACCCCCATCCACAGCCCGTGGTGGTGCACTCCCAGGAGTCCTCTGCTCCAGCTCCCCCAAAGATCCAGGAACCCATGATCCAGGACATCACACCAGAACCCCAGCAGCCGTTGGATCCCCTGCAGGCTCCTCTGCGCTCTGAGCCCACCGCGCAGACACAGCTGCGCCGATCCCGGCGCCTCTCCAAGGAAGGCGGGGCACCGTCCGAAAACCCTTTTCTCCCCGCACCTTTAGATCCCGCTGGGCTGCAGGGGTCCGAAAATGGGGCCCGGGACGTCCAGGCGGCCCCCACAGGAGTCATCCAGAGCACGCGAAGGAAACGCCGCGTGTCCCAGGAGGTCAACCTGGAGCTGCTGGCTCAAGAGGCCTCCGAACGGAAGTCTCCATCAAACGAGAAGGTGTGTAAATGACTCATTTAGAGGTTTTCATTGTAAAGTATCAAATCTAAAACTGGATATCGGTCAGGGTTCAAAGAGCTTACAGCAGTAGTTTTCACCAGATATGTTGATATGAGGTTTTGAAATACAGGCACTCGCTCGATGTAAACTAAGCACTCTGACAAATCCGTGGAAAAACGTGCTTGAGTCACGTGATTGGCTGGTTGTAGTATGTGTAGCTAAACAATTTAATCAGACAAACGTAGAATTTCAGAGAACGTCTAGGTGCAATTAACTTTTAATGCAGAGAATTTTAAAATGATCTATAATTTGTCTTTTTGCTTTTCTGTTTGTTTTGCTCTTTTTCATTTCTCATTTGCTTTACATCAGAAAAAAAGAGCTCTTTTAACAGAGAGTTCAGGGTGTTTTGAATCCTACCATTGAGATGTAAATTTAAACTAGTCTTTTCAGTCTTGACTACTTGCAAAAACTTTTAACAAGAGCTGAGAATTTATTTTCTTGCGTCATCCTCGGGTTTAATTGCGTTGGGATCTAAATTCCCAAAGCAGCGGAGTAAAATGGAGCAACTGGCCTATTTGACTACCAGGGAAAAAAGTGTGCCAGAGCTCGTGTTGTTTGTGATTAGCGTGTTGCTGGAAGAGATGCAGAGTGTAATCAGCACCCGGCGAAGTTTGCACTACAAACTGAGCTGCTCAGCTCTGCCTCGAGGGGGGAAACCCTGGAGCCGAAGCAAGACTTTTACCCTGAGAGTGCTACTGAGGGGTAAATGTTTTTGTTCCTAACAGCTTTTTAGATGAAAACCTGGTAAATTATCTCTGCTGGACGAGCTCTTATCTGTGTTTATGTGGCGGGGCCTGTCGATTGTGCAACGAGCGCTGTTGCCAAATAGTGTTCAGTCAGTGTGTTTGTAGAGCAGCTTGGCCGTGCCCTGAATTTGCCTCATGAGTAGCTGATCACACAGGCTGTGTGTCTGGTTACATGCCTGCACACCTCCCCCCACTTGTGCTCCAGCTTCTCCTCCCCGCACCCCACCCTGCACAGAGGGGGGGTTCGGGGTTGCCTGGCTTGCAGCGCTCAGCAGAATATCTCTGGTGTAAAGGCTGGAGTTTTCCACCAACAATAATAAGCAGAAATCCAGGCGTAGCCACAGCGCTACGTGCCTCTCTGCCCGTGACGCTGCAGCGAGCTGCGCCTTTTTAGCCGTCTTGTGATGTGGTGCTTCAGATTGTTTTGAAGTCACACTGGTTCAGAGCTGATTGCGGCTCCTAAGTGCACAAGAAGTTGATGCTCACTCATTGTGGTTTCTCAGAAGAAAATGTGAAGAATGTGAAAGGGACGGTTCCGTAAACTCTGTCTCTTTAGGGCTGCACTTAGTAGTTAGAAATGGTGGGTGAAACCGTGCAAACATGCCTGTCTGCGAAAGAAGTTTTACTGTTTGTTTGAAAGAATTATTTTGATTGTCAGCTCGTTTCGTGATTTAAATTTGAATCTGGATCTGTTTCAGGTTGAATTGGAACACGTAGTGGATTGATAGTTTATATAATGTCTTATGGCTTTTGGTGTTAATTGGTCATATAAAAATAAATTACATAGAACTGATTTAGATTTTAGGTATTAATACATCTTGAGCTAAAGATCACATGCATTTTTTTCTTTTCTTTTTCTTTTTGCCACTTCAGTAGAAAGCAGAACTGAATATTAGTTTCTTAGTTTCTTCATCATCAGTGACTATTTTTTAAGAAGAAAAAAGTGAAAAGTATGTGAAATATATACAGAGAAGACACAAGACAACACATCCGACATCTTGGCTGCACACCTACAGAAACAGGGAAAACAAAAACGGCAACAAAATTGCATGTCTGTATAATTA